GAGATGGGTGACAAGGTGTATTACAAACGAGCTGAATGCACTGAGTGGAAAGGACCAGGGATAGTTATTGGTCAGGATGGGGCTGTTGTTTTTGTGAGGCATGGTGGTTGCCTAGTGAGAGTGCATCACTCTAGGCTTTCCAAGGTGAACACAAAGGTTAATGAAGAGCAAATGGTACAAAATGATGCTGACACAGAAGCAGGAAGTGAGCAAGGTATAAACAATGCAACTGGTAGTTTAGACAGTGAGCAAAATACAGAGAATGAACAACAATTCGGTGACAGGGAAGCCAATACAAGTGAAGCGATCGATCCTCCAAACACTTTGAGTAGCATAACACAAACTGAAATGGCGCATAGGCCTAATGCCCATAATAATCCTGCCCCTTCTGCAGGTGTGAGTTTAAAAACAGGACAGACTGTAACATATATGAACAGAGGTGACAATACTCTACTTAAAGCAAGAGTCTTAGGGAGATCAGGCAAGGCTACGGGGAAATATAAAACCTGGTATAACATGCAACATCTAGAGAATGATGGTAGTGATGGGCAAAAGGAATCAATTGATATCTCACAGGTTGATAATCTCAACATTGAAACAGAAGACAGAGAAGCTGATGTACTTGTAACCAAAGACATATCATTTGATGCAGCTAAACAGGAAGAAATAAAGAACTGGCACAATAATAATGTATTTGAGGAAGTTGAAGATGCAGGGCAGAAATGCATTTCCACCAGATGGGTTTGTAGTCTTAAGGACACTCCCAAGGGTATAGTGCCTAAAGCCCGACTGGTTGCCAGAGGTTTTGAAGAGCTGAATATTCAAGAGTTACCGAAAGATTCCCCCACATGTGCCACAGATTCACTTAGACTTATGTTATCAGTGAGATGTCAAAACCAGTGGGAAGTCCATTCTATGGACATCAAATCTGCATTCTTGCAGGGTATGGAGCTATCTAGGGATATTTATATCCGCCCCCCTCTAGAGGCAGGATGTCAACATGTTGTATGGAAACTAAAGAAATGTGTATATGGTCTTGCAGATGCATCACTATATTGGTACAACAAAGTGAAGGAAATCATGCTGAGTACTGGTGGTAGAGTGTCACAGGTGGATCCGGCAGTCTTTTACTGGTTGGATGAGCAATGTAAGGTCACTGGGGTGCTTGCGTGTCATGTAGATGATTTTCTTTGGGCAGGCTCATCAAACTTTTCATCCAATGTGATCCCCCAACTGCAGTCTGCATTCAAGGTTGGGCGTGAGGAGCATGAAAAGTTCTCCTATGTAGGAATGGATTTGGTAACTGTTAACGGTGAAGTTCAGGTACATCAACAAAGTTATATCGAGAACCTGGAGCCTATTCCCATACAAGCAAGTCGGGCCACACAGAGAAATGAACCCCTCAACGAAACTGAGAGAGAGCAGTTACGATCACAAATAGGACAGATCCTATGGGTTGCTAAACAGACAAGACCTGATGTAATGTTTGATTCATGTTGTTTGGCTTCTAATATAAAAGGGGCAACAGTACAGTCTGTTCATGATGCTAATAAGATAATCCGTAAGCTAAAGTCTGAAAAGGTGACACTCAGATTTCAACATCTGGGAAACAGTGATGCTTTGAACTTGATAGTTTTCAGTGATGCTTCATTTGGAAACCTCCCAGACGGAGGTACACAGGGAGGTACTTTTATAACACTTATGGGAGAAAGAGGGAAGTTTTCCCCCCTCTGTTGGCATTCAAAGAAAATCAGACGAGTGGTTCGCAGTACCCTTGCAGGGGAAACTCTTGCCATGTCAGATGGGGTAGACAATGCAATTTCTAGCCACACTATTTTCTGAGCTCACTACTGGAAATGCTGGACTGAATGTACCCCCTGTACTCTGTGTGACTGATAACCACTCTCTGTTCGATGCGCTCAAGTCCACAAAACAACAGAGAAGAGACTCAGGTTGGAAATCAGTAGCATTAAGGAGCTCATACAGAGCAAGAGGATCAAGCAGGTGCGTTGGTCAGACACAACATCTCAGCTCGCTGACTGTCTCACAAAAAAAGGAGCTTCGGCTCTTGTGCTCTTAAAAGCACTCCGTGAAGGACAATGGGATCTGGGTTAAAGTGTCTGTTGAAATGGAACATTGAAAACACCTTTGTTTATGTATTTGTTTCTTAAATGTTTCCCTAATTTATGTTGACTACTCAGGGAATTTAAACATTTTTGTTTTAAGTCACTGTATGATTGTTTTATGATTCATGCAATGTAAAGTTATTTTTGTTTTGTTTATTTCTTTAAAAAGATAGAATGGTATTGTTAACATGTAATCTCTTTGCGTCTATACTACTGGCCTTACGGTAGTCTAGGTTGCCCTCTTGAGGCTGTGAAACGCATGCGCAGTTAGTCTGTGTCGACCTGGAGCATGAGGTCCTCTGTTCGCTAATGGCTCTGTATTGGTGTTATGCACGTTGATTGAATAAACCAAGTTAACAGAAGATAAACGTTGTGTTTATTTGTAGTAGACTAACAGGTATGTTGTTGTTGATGGATGGTATGTTGTTGTTGATGGATGGTATGTTGTTGTAGATGGATGGTATGTTGTTGTTGATGGATGGTATGTTGTTGTTGATGGATGGTATGTTGTTGTTGATGGATGGTATGTTGTTGTTGATGGATGGTATGTTGTTGTAGATGGATGATATGTTGTTGTTGATGGATGGTATGTTGTTGTTGATGGATGGTATGTTGTTGTTGATGGATGGTATGTTGTTGTTGTTGATGGATGGTATGTTGTTGTAGATGGATGATATGTTGTTGTTGATGGATGGTATGTTGTTGTTGATGGATGGTATGTTGTTGTTGATGGATGGTATGTTGTTGTAGATGGATGGTATGTTGTTGGTGATGGATGGTATGTTGTTGTTGATGGATGGTATGTTGTTGTAGATGGATGATATGTTGTTGTTGATGGATGGTATGTTGTTGTTGATGGATGGTATGTTGTTGTTGATGGATGGTATGTTGTTGTAGATGGATGGTCTGTTGTTGTAGATGGATGGTCTGTTGTTGTAGATGGATGATATGTTGTTGTTGATGGATGGTATGTTGTTGTTGATGGATGGTATGTTGTTGTTGATGGATGATATGTTGTTGTTGATGGATGGTATGTTGTTGTTGATGGATGGTATGTTGTTGTTGATGGATGGTATGTTGTTGTAGATGGATGTTCTGTTGTTGTAGATGGATGGTATGTTGTTGTTGATGGATGGTATGTTGTTGTAGATGGATGATATGTTGTTGTTGATGGATGGTATGTTGTTGTTGATGGATGGTATGTTGTTGTTGATGGATGGTATGTTGTTGTTGATGGATGGTATGTTGTTGTAGATGGATGATATGTTGTTGTTGATGGATGGTATGTTGTTGTAGATGGATGATATGTTGTTGTTGATGGATGGTATGTTGTTGTAGATGGATGATATGTTGTTGTTGATGGATGGTATGTTGTTGTAGATGGATGATATGTTGTTGTTGATGGATGGTATGTTGTTGTTGATGGATGGCATGTTGTTGTTGATGGATGGTATGTTGTTGTAGATGGATGGTATGTTGTTGTTGATGGATGGTATGTTGTTGTAGATGGATGATATGTTGTTGTTGATGGATGGTATGTTGTTGTTGATGGATGGTATGTTGTTGTTGATGGATGGTATGTTGTTGTAGATGGATGGTCTGTTGTTGTAGATGGATGGTATGTTGTTGTTGATGGATGGTATGTTGTTGTTGATGGATGGTATGTTGTTGTAGATGGATGATATGTTGTTGTAGATGGATGGTATGTTGTTGTTGATGGATGGTATGTTGTTGTTGATGGATGGTATGTTGTTGTTGATGGATGGTATGTTGTTGTTGATGGATGGTATGTTGTTGTAGATGGATGGTATGTTGTTGTAGATGGATGGTATGTTGTTGTAGATGGATGGTATGTTGTTGTTGATGGATGGTATGTTGTTGTAGATGGATGGTATGTTGTTGTAGATGGATGGTATGTTGTTGTTGATGGATGATATGTTGTTGTTGATGGATGGTATGTTGTTGTTGATGGATGGTATGTTGTTGTTGATGGATGGTATGTTGTTGTAGATGGATGGTATGTTGTTGTTGATGGATGATATGTTGTTGTTGATGGATGGTATGTTGTTGTTGATGGATGGTATGTTGTTGTTGATGGATGGTATGTTGTTGTAGATGGATGGTCTGTTGTTGTAGATGGATGATATGTTGTTGTAGATGGATGATATGTTGTTGTTGATGGATGGTATGTTGTTGTTGTTGATGGATGGGATGTTGTTGTTGTAGATGGATGATATGTTGTTGTTGATGGATGGTATGTTGTTGTTGATGGATGGTATGTTGTTGTTGATGGATGGTATGTTGTTGTTGATGGATGGTATGTTGTTGTTGATGGATGGTATGTTGTTGTTGATGGATGGTATGTTGTTGTTGATGGATGGTATGTTGTTGTTGATGGATGGTATGTTGTTGGTTATGGCCATGTTCTTATGATTATTGAAATGTATACAGTTCTGTTTCATCAGGGTGTTTCATAGATCTAGTCTCTTTATTTTCTCCTCAAAATGCACCAGATTGATGCCCCCGGACCCCCCTACAGGGCTTGAGGTCCACCCCCACTTAAAATCACATGGATAGGTTCCTAAATACATTTACAATTTTTTTAAAATACTAACCCATGTCCATATGTTTATTTGTGGGTAGTTTTAAACTATAGGGCTAGATTTAAACTATAGGGCTATCACTATGGGTCCTGCCTGTACCTGTTCGCTCTGCCACTTAGTGAAGGGTCTGCTAACAAGCGACCAACAGAAAGGTTCATGTTAATGTTGTTGCACGTCACCTCAACCCCCCCCCCCCCACCCCTACCAGCACCCCCCCAAGTATATTTCAGATCTGTGGGAAACACTGGGCTGTGTTGTGTGTTGCAGGCTGAGGAGGCTCAGAGGAAGCTGAGGAGACAGAGAGGAGAAGACACAGGTAACTCACCTGGAGAACACACCTGGGACACACACCTGGGGCTAACACACCTGGAGAACACACCTGGGACACACACCTGGGGAACACACCTGGGGAACACACCTGGGGAACACACCTGTAGAACACACCTGGGGAACATACCTGGGGAACACACCTGGGGAACACACCTGGAGAACACACCTGGGAAACACACCTGGGACACACCTGGGGAACACACCTGGGACACACACCTGGGACACACACCTGGCGAACACACCTGGAGAACACACCTGGGGAACACACCTGGCGAACACACCTGGGGAACACACCTGGGACACACACCTGGAGAACACACCTGGAGAACACACCTGGGACACACACCTGGAGAACACACCTGGGACACACACCTGGAGAACACACCTGGGACACACCTGGGGAACACACCTGGTGAACACACACCTGGGACACACCTGGAGAACACACCTGGGACACACACCTGGGACACACACCTGGAGAACACACCTGGGACACACACCTCGGACACACCTGGGGAACACACCTGGTGAACACACCTGGGGAACACACCTGGTGAACACACCTGGAGAACACACCTGGCGAACACACCTGGGACACACACCTGGGGAACACACCTGGGACACAGCTGGTAAACACACCTGGAGAACACACCTGGTACACACCTGGTGAACACACCTGGTGAACACACACCTGGGACACACCTGGAGAACACACCTGGGACACACACCTGGGACACACACCTGGTGAACACACCTGGAGAACACACCTGGCGAACACACCTGGGACACACACCTGGGGAACACACCTGGGACACACACCTGGCGAACACACCTGGAGAACACACCTGGGACACACACCTGGAGAACACACCTGGTACACACACCTGGGACACAGCTGGTAAACACACCTGGGACACACACCTGGAGAACACACCTGGTACACACCTGGTGAACACACCTGGAGAACACACCTGGTACACACCTGGTGAACACACCTGGAAAACACACCTGGGACACACATCTGGTAAACACACCTGGGACACACACCTGGAGAACACACCTGGGGAACACACCTGGGGAATACACCTGGTGAACACACCTGGAGAACACACCTGGGGAACACACCTGGAGAACACACCTGGAGAACACACCTGGTGAACACACCTGGCGAACACACCTGGTGAACACACACCTGGGACACACCTGGAGAACACACCTGGGACACACACCTGGGACACACACCTGGAGAACACACCTGGGACACACACCTCGGACACACCTGGGGAACACACCTGGTGAACACACCTGGGGAACACACCTGGTGAACACACCTGGAGAACACACCTGGCGAACACACCTGGGACACACACCTGGGAGACACACCTGGGACACACACCTGGCGAACACAACTGGAGAACACACCTGGGACACACACCTGGAGAACACACCTGGTACACACACCTGGGACACAGCTGGTAAACACACCTGGGACACACACCTGGAGAACACACCTGGTGAACACACCTGGAGAACACACCTGGTACACACCTGGTGAACACACCTGGAAAACACACCTGGGACACACATCTGGTAAACACACCTGGGACACACACCTGGTGAACACACCTAGGGGACACACCTGGGGAACACACCTGGAGAACAGACCTGGTGAACACACCTGGGGAACACACCTAGTGAACACACCTGGGGAACACACCTGGGGGACACACCTGGAGAACACACCTGGGGAACACACCTGGGGAACACACCTGGGACACACACCTGGCGAACACACCTGGGGAACACACCTGGGACACACACCTGGCGAACACACCTGGGGGACACACCTGGGGAACACACCTGGGGAACACACCTGGAGAACACACCTGGAGAACACACCTGGTGAACACACCTGGCGAACACACCTGGCGAACACACCTGGCGAACACACCTGGGGGACACACCTGGGGAACACACCTGGGGAACACACCTGGAGAACACACCTGGGACACACACCTGGAGAACACACCTGGAGAACACACCTGGGGAACACACCTGGAGAACACACCTGGTGAACACACCTGGGGAACACACCTGGGACACACACCTGGAGAACACACCTGGAGAACACACCTGGAGAACACACCTGGAGAACACACCTGGCGAACACACCTGGGGGACACACCTGGGGGACACACCTGGCGAACACACCTGGGGAACACACCTGGGACACACCACCTGGAGAACACACCTGGAGAACACACCTGGTGAACACACCTGGCGAACACACCTGGGACACACACCTGGGACACACCTGGGGAACACACCTGGAGAACACACCTGGGGGAACTACAGGTACACTATCATACTGATGAGGAGGAGGAGCATTAATGTGTGTGTGTGTGTGTGTGTGTGTGTGTGTGTGTGTGTGTGTGTGTGTGTGTGTGTGTGTGTGCAGCCCTCCCCCCCCCTCTCCCCCCCCCTCTCTCTCCTCTCTTCAGTAGCTTGGTGAACCTCCTTCAGTCTGACCTGATGCTCGCTCTGCAGGGGGCCGTGCTGCTGTGGGCCGGAGAGCCCAGTGGGGGGGTGTGGACAGAGGCCATGCTACAGAGGGTGAGACAGGGAGGGGGAGGGCGGGGACAGGGAGGGGTGAGACAGGGAGGGGGAGGGCGGGGAAAGGGAGGGGTGAGACAGGGAGGGGGAGGGGAGGGCGGGGACAGGGAGGGGCACATCAAGTCTCTAAGGATTCATAGAACTTTCAGGATTAAAGTTAGTGTGTGTGTGCGTGTGCGTGTGCGTGTGTGTGTGTGTGTGTGTGTGTGTGTGTGTGTGTGTGTGTGTGTGTGTGTGTGTGTGTGTGTGTGTGTGTGTGTGTGTGTGTGTGTGTGTGTGTGTGTGTGTGTAGGTGCTGCACCTGGTGGGTCTGGCTCTCCTGGAGGAGCAGCAGCAGCTGGAGACCAGAGGAGAGGAGGACGTCTCCTTCAGATACAGCTGCAAGATCACCCGTCAGTACAGTATTTAATATATGTGTTATGTATCATGTGGTGGGGTATCTACCTGTGCTCAGGTCCAGGCGAGGCCCCCAGTGGTATTATATTATTATATGTTATACATACTGTGCTCAGGTCCAGGCGAGGCCCCCAGTGGTATTATATTATTATATGTTATACATACTGTGCTCAGGTCCAGGTGAGGCCCCCAGTGGTATTATATTATTATATGTTATACATACTGTGCTCAGGTCCAGGCGAGGCCCCCAGTGGTATTATATTATTATATGTTATACATACTGTGCTCAGGTCCAGGTGAGGCCCCCAGTGGTATTATATTATTATTATATGTTATATATACTGTGCTCAGGTTCAGGCGAGGCCCCCAGTGGTATTATATTATTATATGTTATACATACTGTGCTCAGGTCCAGGCGAGGCCCCCAGTGGTATTATATTATTCTATGTTATACATACTGTGCTCAGGTCCAGACGAGGCCCCCAGTGGTATTATATTATTATATGTTATACATACTGTGCTCAGGTCCAGGCGAGGCCCCCAGTGGTATTATATTATTATATGTTATATATACTGTGCTCAGGTCCAGGCGAGGCCCCCAGTGGTATTATATTATTATATGTTATACATACTGTGCTCAGGTCCAGGCGAGGCCCCCAGTGGTAAGGCAAGGCAAGGCAAGGCAAGTTTATTTATATAGCACTTTTCAACACAAGGCAATTCAAAGTGCTTTACAAAAAATGAAAGAGATTAAGAAAATGGCAGTCATTAAAAAGAAAAGCTAATAAAATAAACATTAAAAGAAAAAATACATGGATACAAGTTACAGTGCTGTCAATTAAACATTAAAAGAAAAAAGTACATGGATAAAAGTTACAGTGCAGTCTAAGATATGAATAGTTCAATTAAAAGCAGCGACAAAAGAAAAGTCTTCAGCCTGGATTTAAAAGTAGTCAGAGTTGCAGCGGACCTGCAGGTTTCTGGGAGTTTGTTCCAGATATTTGGAGCATAATAACTGAACGCTGCTTCTCCATGTTTAGTTCTGACTCTGGGGACAGAAAGCTGACCAGTCCCTGAAGACCTGAGAGATCTGGATGGTTCATAATTTAGCAGGAGGTCAGAAATGTATTTTGGGCCTAAACCATTCAGTGCTTTATAAACCAGCAGCAGTATTTTGAAATCTATTCTGTGACACACAGGAAGCCAGTGTAAAGACTTCAGAACAGGAGTGATGTGATCCACTTTCTTAGTGTTAGTGAGGACTCGAGCAGCAGCGTTCTGAATTAGCTGCAGCTTCCTAATAGATTTTTTAGTGAGACCTGTGAAGACACCATTGCAGTAGTCCAGTCTACTGAAGATAAAAGCATGGACAAGTTTTTCCAAATCCTGCTGTGACATTAGTCTTTTAATCCTAGATATATTCTTTAGGTGATAGTAGGCTGATTTAGTAACAGTTTTAATGTGACTGTTGAAACTCAGGTCAGAGTCCATGACTACACCTAGATTTCTGGCTTTATCTGTTGTTTTGAACATTGCACACTGAAGCTCAGCGCTAACTTTTATACGTTCTTGCCTTGGCTCCAAAAACCATTACCTCAGTTTTATCTTTGTTTAATTGGAGAAAGTTCTGACACATCCAGTCATTGATTTGTTCAATGCACTTACTCAGTGTTTGAATTGGAGCATAGTCTCCTGGTGAAATTGTTACGTAAATTTGTGTGTCATCTGCATAGCTATGGTAACTTATTTTGTTGTTCTTCATTATCTGAGCCAGTGGTAGCATGTAGATGTTAAAGAGAAGAGGCCCCAAGATGGAGCCTTGAGGAACCCCACATGTCATATTTGTCAACTCAGATGTGTATTTACCTATAGAAACAAAGTTGTTTCTGTCCTTTAAGTAGGATTCAAACCAATTCAGAACTGTTTCCGAAAGTCCCACCCAGTTCTCCAGTCGGTCTAGTAATATGCTGTGGTCAACAGTGTCAAACGCAGCACTGAGATCTAATAATACTAACACTGAAGTTCTGCCACTGTCTGTGTTTAAGTGGATGTCATTAAAGACCTTTACAAGAGCAGTCTCAGTGCTGTGGTTTGGACGAAAGCCTGACTGGAACACATCAAAACAGTCATTTAAATGCAAGAAATTACTCAACTGTTGAAAAACAACTTTTTCAATGATTTTACCTAGAAATGGGAGGTTTGATATGGGCCTGTAATTGTTCATTACTGAAGCATCTAGATTATTCTTTTTTAAGAGCGGTTTAATGACTGCAGTTTTCAGGGCCTGTGGAAAAATACCTGAGTGAAGAGATTTGTTTACTATATGAAGTAGATCTGAGGCCATGCAAGGCAAAACATATTTGAAAAATCCTGTTGGAATAATATCAAGGCAGCAGGAGGAGGATTTCAGAAGTTGAATAATGTCCTCTAGGTTTTTATCATTAATCTGATGGAATTGTGTCATGATGTCTGAATTGATGTTAAGTGGAGATAGGGACAACACATTTACTGTTCCTGATGCAGAGGCACTGACTGCTTGTCTGATTTCTGAATTTTGTCAGTGAAAAAGGAGGCAAAATCATTGCACGCCCTGGTGGATAGAAATTCAGAGGCTACTGACACTGGGGGGTTAGTTAGTCTGTCGACGGTAGCAAACAAGGCACGTGCGTTGTTTTTGTTTTTGGTAATGATGTCAGAGAAGAACGATTGTCGTGCGTTTTTCAATTCCAAATTATAGAGGCCAAGTCTCTCTTTATAGATTTCAAAGTGAACCTGGAGATTTGTTTTTCGCCACCTGCGTTCAGCTTTTCGACATTCTCTTTTTTCTGTTTTCACGGTCATGGCCTTTCTCCATGGAGATATTTTCTTGCCAGACACTTCCTTTACCTTAGTTGGAGCAATGGCATCTATAACATTTTTAATTTTTGAATTAAAATGATCTACTAGCTCATTTACTGAGATGTTGGCAGGGGCAAGTGTGGAAGAGAAATTCTGAGTAAACATTTCCCTAGTGTTTTCAGTTAAATATCGCTTTGTGGTTACCTCTTTTTGAACATTTTTGTGAACAGAAATAGAGCTCTCAAAGAAAACACAGGAATGGTCAGAGAGTTGCAACATCAGTCACCACAACCTTAGAGATATTCAGACCCTTTGAGATAATTAAGTCCAGAGTGTGCCCCTTATTGTGCGTGGGCTCCGTCACATGCTGAGTCAGTCCATAGTTATCAAGAACACAAACAGTTCTTTAGCCCCTCTGTCCTGGGGGTTGTCAACATGGATGTTAAAATCACCAACAATGACTAGACGGTCAAAGTCAATACACACTATAGACAGCAGTTCAGTAAAGTCATCAAAAAAGCTTGCACAGTATTTGGGTGGTCTATAGATATTTAGGAACAGAGCTCGAGAGGAGCATTTCAGCCGGAGGGCCACATATTCAAAAGAATCAAAGTTTCCATAAGATGTCTTCCTGCATTGAAGGGCATCATTGAACAGAATAGCAACTCCACCCCCTTTCTTATGCATTCTTTCCTGACTCATAAAACTGAAGTTGGGAGGGGTTGATTCGATAAGAACAGCTGCACTGTTATTTTGTTCAATCCAAGTTTCTGTTAAAAACATAAAATCGAGATTGTGCTCAGTGATAAAATCATTGATTAAAAATGTTTTTCCTGCTAAAGACCTGACATTTAATAAAGCTAGTTTAAGTTTGTTAAACACACTATCAGTCATGTTTTTTGTAACAAGCTGTGGCTGACATGCAATCACTGCTAAATTAGATACACTCACACAAACGTTTGAGCGCTTCCTGTTTCTATGATTCACCGCTCTTAATCTATTACCTATCAACACAGATATCGGCAAAGCTACTGGCAGGCAGGGCCCCGACATGTCCTTGAAAGAGTTGAGAGTGCCATACGCCCTTGAGCCTGGACCCATCACATATCAGTAAGAGTTTGTTGTGTTTTGTACACACACATCCTTATCAGGCTTCGGAGACTGCAGAAGCCCCCTCGAAGGGAGGGGAGGTGGTCGACGTAGGCACGGTGATGGAGACGGGCTAGATGGTGCGGGGGTAGAGGACATGCTGCCAGGGGGGGGAGGTGGTTGACGTAGGCGCGGTGATGAGGACGGGGGAGATGGTGCGCGTCTCCGCGGTGATTTTGGTGGGCGTCGTTGAGGAGCGGGGGTAAAGGACATGGTGCCAGCCCTGCGTATCGCCTTCGTTTGGTCTTTGAACTCCAGGAAGGAATCGGTGCCAACCCTCTGTATCTCCTTTGTGTGTTCATCGATCTCCAGGAGGGTGGGCGAGGGTGAAAGGGTGAACGGAGTATCCTCAAAGGCGTTGACAGGGGGGGGGGGCAGTGGAGACTCCTCCATGTGTCTCATATGTCTCCCATAATCAGAACATTCCTCAGGCGGGTGCAGTGATAATTCTTCAGGGTTTTCTGCGTGATGTGTTGTGTCTTTCTCGTGTTTTGATTCCTCCTGCCGCTTGTCCTTGGCAGAGGGAACAGATTGATGACGCAGGCAGTTGAATATGTTAGAGATAAACAATTTCACTCCTGACTTGTTCAGGCAAACTCCATTTGCCTTGAAAAGATGTCTGCGATCCCAGAAAAAGTTAAAATTGTCAATAAAATGAACAGAATGGTCAGTACAGGCCGTTGAAAGCCACGTGTTCAGTGCAAACAATCTGCTGAATCTCTCCACTCCTCTTCTGACTGGCGGTAGAGGGCCACTGATGAACACCTCTGCATTTAGAGAGCTGGCAGTTTCCAACAAACATTTAAAGTCTTCTTTCAGCACTTCTGACTGTTGTTTCACAACATCATTTGTTCCAATGTGCAGTACCACATTCTTCACAGTCGGATGTTCAGCCCCAATATGCAGGATCTTCTCAGCCAAGTCAGAGACCACATCCTTGGGAAAACAGAGTACTTTGGTGTTGTTCTTATTACACAGACCTTTTACATCTCTTACAGCAGAGTCACCCACAATCAGAGTTTCAGGCCCAGTCGTTAGCTTTCCCTCTAGCCTTTTACTTTTAGAGTAGCTATTGGTCCTTACCCTGCTGCGTGAAGAGGACAGGTTATCCAGGTCATCAGATCTCCGGTTCTCGGTCAGCGGAGCGTATCTGTTCTGGATTGGCACACTTGGTGGTTTAGGAGGATTGTTTGTAATTCTCCCTTTAGCAGCTGTCCACGGCTGTTTCCTAGTATGAATAGGGGTTGAAGAGGCGCTCTTCCTGGGTGATAACAATGCAGGCCAGCCGGTCGCATCACAGATTTCGGAGCTCTGGGCTCTGCCTGTTATCCGTCCTCCCAAATCCCATGGAAGTGATTTACTCTTAGGCTTTGCACCCAGAGAGTTCCAGGGAGGACTACCACTTGTAGATTTATTACCCGGTACACAGCCCTCCTGTTCCTTGGAATCTTTGTAGCTGCTAACTAGCTGTGAGTTAGCATACCCTTCTCCATTACTTAGCAACACTGGTAAAGTTGTGTCATTCCCACGACATAGTCCATTCACTTCCACGTTAACTTCCAACCGTTGCATTTTCATTTCCAACACAGCCATCTTCTGTATAAGTTTCTGGAAGTCATCTGTAGAGAACGGAGGCATTTTGCTACCAACTAGCTTAAGCTAAATAGCAGTAGCCTACCAGGCTTTAGCTGTTGCTAGGCCACGCTATTGTAAGACTGACGTCGTCGTAAAAATGTTGAAATATGGCTGAAACCCTCCGTCTATTTACGAAGATGAACTGTCCCAGTGATAAGTTAATGTCCAGGAGCCGCTGCTCGAAGTTTTCAGAGAATAAGAATAGGAAAATCAGCATAAAAAGTAAGCAGAGGCAAGAGCAAGCAGAAAAGCGTCTGCACTGTAAGAAAGATAAGCAAGAGGTATTATATTATTATATGTTATATATACTGTGCTCAGGTCCAGGCGAGGCCCCCAGTGGTATTATATTATTATATGTTATACATACTGTGCTCAGGTCCAGGCGAGGCCCCCAGTGGTATTATATTATTATATGTTATATATACTGTGCTCAGGTCCAGGCGAGGCCCCCAGTGGTATTATATTATTATATGTTATACATACTGTGCTCAGGTCCAGGCGAGGCCCCCAGTGGTATTATATTATTATATGTTATACATACTGTGCTCAGGTCCAGGCGAGGCCCCCAGTGGTATTATATTATTATATGTTATATATACTGTGCTCAGGTCCAGGCGAGGCCCCCAGTGGTATTATATTATTATATGTTATATATACTGTGCTCAGGTCCAGGCGAGGCCCCCAGCCCCTCTGGCAGTGTGCTGGCTCTGCTGGAGAGTCTGCAGAACGCTCCACACCTGGAGGTCCACAAAGACATGATCACCTGGATCCTGAAGGTGAGTCCCTCCTCTAAAGCAGGGGTTCCCAAACTTTTCAGCCCGCGCACTCTCGCGGGAATATCTCCGCAATGGAGCGAGCTTACGTTTCACTTCTGATTGCTTGATGTAGCCCAGCGCAACACCTTCATCACACATGTTGCCACTTGTTTGTACCATTTCCAGGCAATTTGTAATCTGTTCTAGAAAACTATGTGTTTTGTTTTAGATTTCAAGAAGCGTATAAATCAAACAATGGATGTTTCTGATGAACATGCATCCAGGCTGGAAGTAGATGTAGATGTTAGGAGTGAGATAGAGAGTATTATCTAATATATGCATCAGATGAGGCTTTGCATGAAGTCTGTTGCTGATCAGAGGCTGCTGTCGGGGCAGACCATGCAGGCCAGCCCGACGGTCACCAAGGTCCAGACGAGCCTAACGTGTGAACAAAGGGCTCAGACCTCAGAGAGTTCAACTTGGGCCTGCGACCAAAGTTTAACTTTATTTAGTTTAGAAAATCCACAGCGGAGGTTTGTGTCGTACTACATGCGGTGTGTTTAGCATTTCTCTCAGTAGCCAACGATCGGAGAGTCTGTTGGACTAAACTGTGATAAATGTAGTCTACATTTCATAAGAGGTGGAAAACCTGAGAGCATTTTAAATCGCATTTGAACTAAATGCTGATATAACCTGTAGTTGTTTTTGTATTGTTGATTTAATGTGTGAACGAGGCGATGTAGAGAAGTGAAGCTCCAGCTGGCCCCTAGCTGGGCTCTGAAGGACCACCAGCTGGGCTCTGAAGGACCACCAGCTGGGCTCTGAAGGACCTCCAGCTGGGCTCTGAAGGACCACCAGCTGGGCTCTGAAGGACCTCCAGCTGGGCTCTGAAGGACCACCAGCTGGGCTCTGAAGGACCACCAGCTGGGCTCTGAAGTACCTCCAGCTGGGCTCCAGCTAGGCTCTGAAGGACCTCCAGCTGGGCTCTGAAGGACCACCAGCTGGGCTCTGAAGGACCTCCAGCTGGGCTCCAGCTGGGCTCTGAAGGACCTCCAGCTGGGCTCCAGCTGGGCTCTGAAGGACCTCCAGCTGGGCTCCAGCTGGGCTCTGAAGGAGAGGTGTGTCTGATGATGACGAGTGTGTTTGTGTTCAGATGGTGGCTAACGTGAAAACCATGAGAGAACGATCGTCCTGCAGCTCCACCGTCACTGTGAGACCAGGACAAGGACTGGAGGAGGTACCAACACACACAAACACACACACACACACACACACACACACACACACACACACACCTGTCTCAGTCTGAGTGTGTGTCTCTGCAGACGCTGCGCGACAGAGATCAGTTGGAGAGGAAGAGGAAGGCGGAGATGGCTCGGCTGCGGAGGGAGAAGATCATGGCTCAGATGTCCGAGATGCAGAAACACTTCATCAACGAGAACAAGGATCTGTTCCTGGAGGCCTCAGGGTCCACTGCGGAGAGCAGGTACACCTGTACACACCTGGGTACACCTGACCACACCTGTATACACCTCTACACACCTGTACACACCTGTATATACAGTGGGGCAAAAAAGTATTTAGTCAGCCACCAATTGTGCAAGTTCTCCCAGTTAAAAAGATGAGAGGCCTGTAATGTTCATCCTAGGTACACTTCAACTATGAGAGACAGAATGGGGGGAAAGAATCCAGGAAATCACATTGTAGGATTTGTAATGAATGAATTGGTCAAATAAGTATTTGGTCACCTACAAACAAACAAGATCTCTGGCTCTCACAGACCTGTAACTTCTTCTTTAAGAGCCTCCTCTGTCCTCCACTCGTTAACTGTATTAATGGCACCTGTTTGAACTCGTTATCAGTATAAAAGACACCTGTCCACAACCTCAAACAGTCACACTCCAAACTCCACTATGGCCAAGACCAAAGAGCTGTCAAAGGACACCAGAAACTAAATGGTAGACCTGCACCAGGCTGGGAAGACTGAATCTGCAATAGGTAAGCAGCTTGGTGTGAAGAAATCAACTGTGGGAGCAATTATTAGAAAATGGAAGACATACAAGACCACTGATAATCTCCCTCGATCTGGGGCTCCACGCAAGATCTCACCCTGTGGGGTCAGAATGATCACAAGAACGGTGAGCAAAAATCCCAGAACCACACAGGGGGGACCTAGCCAATGACCTGCAGAGAGCTGGGACCAAAGTAACAAAGGCTACCATCAGTAACACACTACGCCGCCAGGGACTCAAATCCTGCAGTGCCAGACGTGTCCCCCTGCTTAAGCCAGTACATGTCCAGGCCCGTCTGAAGTTTGCTAGAGAGCATTTAGATGATCCAGAAGAGGATTGGGAGAATGTCATATGGTCAGATGAAACCAAAATAGAACTTTCTGGTAAAAACTCAACTAGACGTGTTTGGAGGAGAAAGAATGCTGAGTTGCATCCAAAGAACACCTACTGTGAAACATGGGGGTGGAAACATCGTGCTTTGGGGCTGTGTTTCTGCAAAGGGACCAGAACGACTGATCCGTGTAAAGGAAAGAATGAATGGGGCCATGTATCGTGAGATTTTGAGTGACAACCTCCTTCCATCAGCAAGGGCATTGAAGATGAAACGTGGCTGGGTCTTTCAGCATGACAATGATCCCAAACACACCGCCCGGGCAACGAAGGAGTGGCTTCGTAAGAAGCATTTCAAGGTCCTGGAGTGGCCTAGCCAGTCTCCAGATCTCAACCCCATGGAAAATCTTTGGAGGGAGTTGAAAGTCCGTGTTGCCCAGCGACAGCCCCAAAACATCACTGCTCTAGAGGAGATCTGCATGGAGGAATGGGCCAACATACCAGCAACAGTGTGTGAAAACCTTGTGGAGACTTACAGGAAACCTTTGACCTCTGTCATTGCCAACAAAAGGTATATAACAAAGTATTGAGATTAACTTGTTATTGACCAAATACTTACTTTCCACCATAATTTGCAAATAAATTCTTTAAAAATCCTACAATGTGATTTCCTGGATTCTTTCCCCCCATCCTGTCTCTCATAGTTGAAGTGTACCTAGGATGAACATTACAGGCCTCTCTCATCTTTTTAAGTGGGAGAACTTGCACAATTGGTGGCTGACTAAATACTTTTTTGCCCCACTGTACCTGGGTACACCTGACCACACCTGTATACACCTGTATACACCTCTTCACACCTGTACACACCTGGGTACACCTTTACACACCTGTATATATCTGGGTACACCTGTACACCTATCCACTGCTGCAGAAAGCAGGCACACCTGTACACCAGGCTGATAAATGGTTTCTGGTCCCCTCCCAGTCCCCCCAGGTCGGACCCCCCCTGTGTGTCTCAGGTGTGTTTGGGCCCCCGGAGGTCAGGTGCAGCGCAGCGCCGTCAGCTGGTTACCTGCATCCTGTGCCAGGAGGAGCAGGAGGTCAGAGGTCAGGGCAGAGCCATGGTGCTGGCTGCCTTCGTCCAGAGGTCCACCGTCCTGTCCAAGAACCGCCGCCGCAGCTTACCTGAGCCAGGTGAGCGTCTCTCTGACATCATCAGGGCGTCACTCTGACATAATCACGGCGTCACTCTGACATCATCACGGCATCACTCTGACATCATCAGGGCAGCAGCCAATCTGTGTTCAGCACTGTTGAATGACGTGTGTGTGTTTCAGTGCACTACGACCCTCTCTTCATGCACCCTGATTTGTCTCTGGGGACACACACCGCCAGCTGTGGACACATCATGCACGCCAACTGCTGGCAGAGGTGAGGCCTGCACATCATTATTATAAATCGTGTTATTATAAAATAATAAATCATATTAAATATAATAAATAATACTTTCTATTCTATTTATATCCACAGGTACTTTGAGGCGGTGCAGGTGAAGGAGCAGCGGAGGCAGCAGCGCCTCAGAGGACACACAAGCTACGATGTGGAGCACGGAGAGTTCCTCTGTCCGCTGTGTGAATGCCTGAGCAACACCGTGATCCCCCTGCTGCCCCACACACACTCACCTGGCCACAGGTACACACACACCTGACCTCAGGCACACACTCACCTGACCTCAGGCACACACACACCTGAGCACAGGCACACACTCACCTGACCTCAGGTACACACTCACCTGACCTCAGGCACACACACACCTGAGCACAGGCACACACTCACCTGACCTCAGGTACACACACACCTGAGCACAGGCACACACTCACCTGACCTCAGGTACACACTCACCTGACCTCAGGTACACACTCACCTGACCTCAGGTACACACTCACCTGACCTCAGGTACACACTCACCTGGCCTCAGGTACACACTCACCTGGCCTCAGATACACACTCACCTGACCTCAGGCACACACTCACCTGACCTCAGGCACACACACACCTGAGCACAGGCACACACTCACCTGACCTCAGGTACACACTCACCTGACCTCAGGCACACACTCACCTGGCCTCAGGCACACACACACCTGGCCTCAGATACACACTCACCTGACCTCAGGCACACACTCACCTGACCTCAGGCACACACACACCTGAGCACAGGCACACACTCACCTGACCTCAGGTACACACTCACCTGACCTCAGGCACACACTCACCTGGCCTCAGGCACACACACACCTGGCCTCAGGTACACACTCACCTGACCTCAGGTACACACACACACCTGGCCTCAGGTACACACACACATCTGGCCTCATGTACACACTCACCTGACCTCAGGTACACACACTCACCCGACCTCAGGTACACACACTCACCCGACCTCAGGTACACACACACCTGGCCTCAGGTACACACTCACCTGACCACAGGTACACACACCTGGCCTCAGGTACACACTCACCTGACCTCAGGTACACACACACACCTGACCTCAGGTACACACACACCTGACCTCAGGTACACACACACCTGGCCTCAGGCACACACTCACCTGACCTCAGGTACACACTCACCTGACCTCAGGTATACACACACCTGGCCTCAGGTACACACACACCTGGCCTCAGGTACACACACACCTGACCTCAGGTACACACACACCTGGCCTCAGGTACACACACACCTGAGCCCAGGTACACACACTCACCTGACCTTTTGTTGTTTCTCAGTGTGGATCATCCCAGTCTCGAGACGTGGCTTGAAACCACCAATCAGCAGATCGCAGCACTATGCTCCGCCCACAGGAAGCAGTCTGGTCAGTCACCTGTCAATCATTTGAAGAAAAGAGTCACAATATTTTGATCAAAAATAAACTGTGTGTGTGTGTGTGCGTGTGTGTGTGTGTGTGTGTGTGTGTGTGTGTGTGTGTGTGTGTGTGTGTGTGTGTGTGTGTGTCAGGTGTAGAGGGGGCAGAGCCTGAGGTTCCTGAAGGCTTCAGAGTGGACTTTACTCCCCAGTGAGTCAGCTGACCGTACCTGAAACTGTCACACTAACTTCATTCAGCTTCAGATAAAGTAAACTGTGTGTGTGTGTGTGTGTGTGTGTGTGTGTGTGTGTGTGTGTGTGTGTGTGTGTGTGTGTGTGTGTGTGTGTGTGTGTGTGTGTGTTCAGGAACCCCTTCTCCAGCAGCATCAGTGAGATGATCACCACCTTCAGCATGTCTATATATAAAGTGTCTCTGAAGCTGAACCCCAACGAGCAGGACCCCCGAGTCCCTGTGCTGAGCTGGGCCACATGCGCCTACACCATCCAGAGCATAGGTAAACACACCTGTACAGGTAAACACACCTGTACAGGTAAACACATCTGAACAGGTAAACACACCTGTACAGGTAAATACACCTGTACAGGTAAACACATCTGTACAGGTAAACACATCTGAACAGGTAAACACACCTGTACAGGTAAACACATCTGTACAGGTAAACACATCTGAACAGGTAAAACACATCTGTACAGGTAAACACACCTGAACAGGTAAACACATACTGTACAGGTAAACACATCTGTACAGGTAAACACATCTGAACAGGTAAACACATCTGTACAGGTAACACATCGTACAGGTAAACACAT